CCAGTGGTTCTCTAACTGATGTCAGCTCATGATTAAATCCTCCATAGAATAAATCAAATCACAAGAAGAAATTTCAAACTCAAAGTCAATAGCAATGACCATTAGAGACGTAAACAATCACGACGACAAAAGATGTCAGGAGATATTAATATGTGCACAAGAGATAATGACAACACCAACAATAAGGAGTCTAAATTATCAGTAGTCATTTCATACAAAAAAGGAACCTCGGAAACCTTATGCCGTCAAATTCTTAACAGGGCAGGAATAAAAGTGACTGGCATTCAAACCATCCACAAACTCAATTAGAAACAAGCTTTGTCGGTTAAAGGATCCTGCCAGTCGAACCTTTAAAACAAAACAATTTAGTTTATCTAATACCCTGCTTGAAATGATATTGTCAGGTCAAATACATAGGTCAAAGTAGTAGAACATGTACAGTCGGTCAGACTAGCTGAACATAAAAACCTAGCAGCAAAATCTAGATTGGTTGACCCTAATAAGATAAGAAATCTAGAGAATAGTTCAGCCATAGATAGCACAACATGCAGTTACACACAACCATACAACAGGATGGATAGGATAAGATGACAGTTTTAAAATCTAATGTCACAGCAGGGTGGAGGCAGAGATTGATTTCAACAGAAGCTTTGCTAATCGAATCAACTGGAAACACGTGTAATAGGAATGATTCAACACCTGTCCATCCAGATATCTGGAAAATTCTACTACCTCTACGACGACAAGTAGGAGAGAACAAAGAAAACTATAAACCTCAAGTCATTGTGATTGTGACTGATGATATGATTATGAACCATAATAAATTTTGTTCAAAACCTCGTCATCCAGTAAATAACAATACTGTTTCCTCACTGTTTGATAATATCTAACAAACAAACTAATGTGGAATTGTCCAGAGATCCAATTAAATCATCATTCATGCAGACAGAATTCAAACAAGTTCACTTAATATGGAAGATTGCGTTGAAGATTTGGTCTAGAAGGGAGACAATCTCAATTAAATCAATAACCAACTCATAGGGTACAACTGAATGAAAATCAAAACATCAGGAAATCTTTCACAGTCGGTTTGAGTAAAATAGCGAGGTGTAAGCTGTTTGACTGTCGTCGTCGAAATGCTAGGGACTGTTAACGACAGTAGCTCAAAATAATTTCTAAAGGATGCAGGTACATTCACTCTCTGTGACCTCCCTCCCACATAATAATCAAAACAAGCATCTCAGAAATCACAAAGAGCGTCTTATATCAATCAGAAGCATCTCATATCAAATGGAATCCAAATTGCCTGAGCTGAATACCAATGATGGATTAGAACAGGATTCGACCTGGTTACAACATCCCACCGCTCCCCCATAAAATGACAAAATCAACACGGATGTGATAGGCAATTTCATTATGTAAACATACGCTGCTTTTATAATTTTACATATTTATCAAATCCAACAGGCATCATCTACACTTGGTTACGTCATCTTTACCAATTGGCCAGGCTGACAACTATGAAATGACCCCATGCTGAGAAAAGACGAATAAATTTGTTATGTACAAGCTGAGTGGATTTTGTAAATTTCGGTTTAATAATCCTACTTTGATAAAGCTATTAGCAGTAGCATTAAATAGCGAAACGTCAGTAAAAACAGCAATATCGTTTTGTTTTCCATTCATTCATTCATTGGGAAATACAAAATACAGCCTTTAGTATAATGAATATCCACATAAGTAATTTAGACAAAAACTCAGCACTACATTGTACTTCATGCATTAACATACAACCACAAAATAGGGTAGGTTGGACAGAGTCCAAAATTCTAGACGGAGAGAGACAGAGAGATTGATTACTGAATCCTGGTTCATCTAGTCTACACACCCAACACAACACATGCAATAGAAGCGAATCAAAGCGAATACCGGAGATATGGAAAATATTATTACCACCAGTAGAGTCAGAGGATATTAAATAATGTTAAAATGTATTCAATTCAATTCACATTATAATATTCTAACGAGTTTAAAACAATTAGTCCCTTTTATAAATTTGGATAGCGTTAATAGAAGACGGAGATTATATGAAAGATGCGATGTGATGTATTCGTGCTATACATTTCGAACTGTCTGATCACACGATTGGTAGATGGTGGCTAGCAGTGGAATCCAAGATGCGCATTTCGTTCTATTAGGGACTCGTCAGCTGGATGTACCTGCATTTCTCAGTGAGTGATGATGTTCCCACTGAGGCTCGATAACGCTTTGGCGTTTGAAACTATGGGCACTGGGTTCGAGCCTCAGTGGGAACGTCATCACTCACTGAGAAATGCAGGTACATCCAGCCAGTGACGAGTCCCAAATAGGACGAAATGCGCATCCTGGATTCCACTGCTAGCCACCATCCACCAATCGTATACTAATTAAATGCCCAGACATCGTCGAAGCATCTGCACAAGAAGCCGACATGTCAACCTGAGACCGAGCACTTTGGTCCAATCCATCGACGGGAAAATCAAAAATTCAATTGAATGTCTGATCACACATTTACTTGTCAAGTCAATATATATGGAAAAGTTAAATTAAACTTTGAACGTGAAGGTGGGGGAGCATATCCCAAAATGGTTGAAAAAACAAATGAATTGTGACAAGCCAATAGATGCAGGTGTCAGACTACCAACTTTTTCTTATAGCTAAACATCTAATCGAGATGAACCATAAGATTGATGCTAACTCAGCCTTTAAAGTTATCTATAAAAACGGTCAAGGGCGCTTATTGAAATATGCAGAGGCGATAGCTATTCATAAACTTAAGCCCCTCCCTCTGTGTATTCAAAAACAGTTTATTATTAATCTTAAGCTACCTTATTATTATTATATCATTTAATTCCTAGAGGAACATAGGGCTTCAGCTGCGCATCTCCATTGCCTTCGGTTTTCTGACAACTTTTTCACCCAGCTCCAAGTCTGCCCACATGCTTTCATCCCCTCCTCACATGACCTCCTCCAAGTCACCCTTGGATGACCAACTAGTCGCCTCCCTTTCGGGCTCCACTCGAGGGCTTGTCTAGTGATGTCATGTGATGGTTTCCTCAGAGTATGGCCAGCCAATCCATCTCCATTTCTTCCTGCCTATTTGTTTCACAATCGGTTCCTGGTGGGTTGGTTCGCTCATTGCCAGAGATCTTTGTTGCTGATCTTTTCTGGTTGGCCATCTGATCTTGAGTGAAGTATTGAGTGAAGACAACTGTTAATGAAGGTCTGAAGTTTGTTTGAGATGCTGTTTATGACGCGCTGGCCAAGTCTCTGATCCGTATAGTAAGCGGCACTGACTGACTTCACATTGGAGTTGAAAATCCGGATGTTATTTTTGATGGTGAGTGCTGTTGACCTCCACAAAGACTTGAGAGTAATAGAAGCTTGTCTTGCTTTCACAACCCTCGCTGCTTTGATATCCTCGTCAGTTCCGTCCGCCTGTAGTTGAAACGATGCTTTCCAGGTAGGTAGGTAAAGGAGGTTGTTTCTTTCAGGTTTCTCCCATTTATGCTGGCTGATTGTTGTCTATTGTTGTGGTAATCCTTATTTGATTGGATTACCAAACGTTGTGTTAATCATTCTTAATTCTTATTTTTTTGTCACTTTGTTTAATTTAACTTTTTCATATATATGCATTGACTTGACAAGTAAATGTGTTAGGGATCAGATTGTTTGAAATGTATAGCGCAAATACATCACATCGCATTTTTCAGATAATCTCCGTCTTCCAATAAAACTATCCAAATTCTAACAAGTTACTTATTTCTACTGCAAAAAAAAACATTTTATTTCCCATCTGATTGTATTCTACTGATAACACTAATATATAAATCTATGTGAACTGGAGTAAAGCCTGAAGAAGATCTAATTGAAAACAATATTTTTACGAGTTGATCACGAATTGATATCAGTTAGAGAACCATTGAAAACCAGGGAGTACTGGACAGCTGCTGTTTCACCCTAGTTTGGGAATCATCGGCAGTACGCACCCACTGGGTTGCAAATCTAGGACCTTCCGGTTACAAGGCCAGTTAGCTCGTATACCATTCAGCCAATGGGACCCGATTCAATGGCCAGACCATGAATTCTGACTTCTACCAATTCGTGATTTAGCGTGACCCCAACCATTGTCGTTGGTGGGACATCCATCCACACACGTGACATCTAATTGGACCTCACTGGTCACGACTTCTCACTAGAACTCAGGAAACTTCAACTTGTAGCAGATCACTAGCGAGCATCAGATTAATTTTCTATAGTTTGGTTTTTGTAAGGGTTTGTTATGTTCTTACGAGTTTTTACGAAACCCAGTGGGTGAGTACTGCTGATGATTCCCAAGTTAGTGGGATGAAACAGCTGGCTGTCCAGTACTCCGATACTGGTTTTCAATGGTTCTCTAAACTGAGATCAATCCATGATCAACTCGTAAAAAAACATAACAAACCCTTACAAACCAAACTATTGAAAACAATATTGTTCACTTATATGTCTTAATCTAACCCTAATATTATTATTTCTGAATGTACTCTACATTGTACTTTACAAATGTCTAATCATCAATTTTTACTCATGTATATAAACGACGAAGCAAGAAAGTTGTGTGAGTGAGTACTTTGATATGATTATGAGGAATGATAAATTGTGCTCGAAACGTGGTCATCCGTAAATATTACCGTATAACAGTAATGTGTCATTTAATCAAGATAAAAATCATATCCATAATCTACCAAAATGCTTAAAGTTTTATCCTTATATCAATAACCTCCTAGATCTTTCCCGCGTACTTTTTGAAAAAAAAGGCTAGTTGTAAAAGAAATCAATTATTTTTTTTACTAAATAAATTCTATAATACTTAAAAATTAATAATAATCACAAATAAATAAAATATAGAATACTTGATAAAAGTTGATCATATATTATAGTGTTATTTTTATACTCATTTACCATCGTTTAAAATTTGTTTGATTATATTTTTTTCGCGCCATCATATTTTGCAATATATATATCTTCATTTGATTCATTTAAACATCAATATCATGTTGAACAAGAAATTTTCTTAATAATTCTAAAACATCCTGTTTCACTGAAGTTGGTACAGTTTGTCGGGCTGATGGTGTTATCGCTTGGACAACCTCCTCTACAGTGATATTATCCACTCCCTTTGTGCGTATATAATCTTTACAGGCTTGTTTAACTTTTTCATTCCAACCAGTCTCGATTAGTTTATTTTCAACAAATTCACGTAATCTTTCACGTTCACCAGTTTTAACTAATAATTCAGAGATTTTATTTTTTATTTCATTACGTTTCTCTGACATATTCTTATTCTTATTCTTCTTTTTCTTACTCCTCTGTTTATCTGTTTGCCTTTATGTTCAATAGTCAATGTGAAAGTGGTAATAATTGGAATGTTTAATTCCTGACCTTGAACGAAAAGTATTGATTGAATAATTGATAAGTCTACTTAATACAGAAATTAGTAGCAGTAATAATAATAACAATAATAGTTTTATGCCATATTTATTGATCATTATATATTTTATTATTATTATTATATTATTATTGTATCCTTTAGTTCCTAGAGGAACATAGGGGGCTTCAGCTGCGCATCTCCATTGCCTTCGGTTTTCTGACAACTTTTTCACCCCGCTCCAAGTCTGCCCACATGCTTTCATCTCTTCCTCACATGACCTCCTCCAAGTCACCTTCACAATGACGACCAAACCGCCGCTTCCCTTTCGGCCGGGTTCCACTCGAGCGACGGCCTGTCTAGTGATGTCACTTGATGGTTTCCTCAGAGTATGGCCAGCCAATTCATCTCCATTTCTTCCTGCCTATTTGTTTCACAATCGGTTCCTGGTGGGTTGGTTCGCTCCCAGAGATCCCTGTTGCTGATATTTTCTGGCCATCTGATCTTGAGTATTGAGCGGAGACAGCTGTTAATGAAGGTCTGTAGTTTGTTTGAGATGCTCTTTATGACGCGCTGGCCAAGTCTTTGATCCGTATAGTAGCACTGACTTTACATTGGAGTTGAAAATCCGGATCTTATTTTTGATGGTGGGTGCTGTTTTATATATATTTTATACATTAAAAGAATTAATATTATTATATTGTTATCGTTATTGTTTCCTTTAATTCCTAAAGGAACATAGGGCTTCAGCCGCATGTCTCTATTGTATTCGCGGTTCTCTGCAAACGTTTTCACCTGGCTCCACATCTGCCCACATGCTTACATCTACTCTCCTCATCAACATCCTACATGTCACCCTCTCACTGACGACCATCTCACCGCTTCCCATTCATGCTCCACTCTAGCGATGGTCTGGCCTGTGGCGTCACTCATTTGATGTTTCTTTTTCTCAGAGTATTCCGGGTCAATCCATCTAACTCGATTTCTTCCTGCATGCAGATTTGTTGTACAATTGGTTCTTGCTGCATTGGTTGGTTCTTTTATTGCCAGAGATTCCTGTTGCTGGTCTTTTCTGGCCGGCCATCTGAGATAAAGTGAAGTACTGAGCGAAGACAGCTGTTGATGGATGTCTGTAGTTAGTTCGAAGTGCTCTTCGTCATGCGCCAGGTCTCTGATCCGTGTAGAGTAGCACTGACTGACTTCAAATTGGAATTAAAATCTGGACCTTATTTTCATTTTCATGCTGAGTGCTGTTGATCTCCTCCTCACAGACTTTGTGAGTGTAATGAAATCTTGACCTGCTTTCCCGATCCTCACTGCCTTGATATCCTCATCAGTTCCATCCACCTGTAGTTAAAACTATGTTTCCCAGGTAAGTAGGTAGGTAGATTTGATTTTTTTTTATTTTGATTTTTGATTACAGCTTGATTCCACACCGTATTTTTGGTACAAGTATGGAATTTTCAGCGTGGATATCGGTAGCCCAAAATTCGCAGGCCAACCATAGATATCAGGTGTGCGTCGGAGTGGGCTCGAACCCCGGACCATGTGCATGGTCGGCGAGAGTCCTAACCACTGTGCCACCGCTCACAGTGATTTCTTCTTTCAGATTCAGTTTTTGCCATTTATGCTGGTTGTTTTCTGTTGTTGTTGTTGTTGGCCAGGAATCTTCATCAACACATCTGTTTTCTTTATGTTCACCTGGAGTCCTTCTTATCTTCTCTGGATGCTACTTCTGTCAGCTTGTTGCTTTTCACTTGCATATCTTCCAGCAGTTTGTGGGAAATCAGACATATATCATCAGATCCTCAAAGTTTTTTGTGCAGGTCTATTATATGCCTGTTTTCTCGGTATCCGGCCCGCTGTCTATCTGACGCATTATCCAGTCTACCGCCCACAATCAGGAAAATCATTGGAGATAGTAGGCAGCCAAACCAGCCAGCCTTATCTTAATCCCGTCTTCACTTCTTCGAAGGATTCCGTGAGTTGTGAATTCATGAATTTATCACAATAAGTTAGGAAAATCCCAGAATTATTTCCGGTCAAAGGTCAAAATATAACACACAATAAAATGAGACAATGCAGACCAAATAAAGATTAAATTTCTTGAATTTTTGATCACCTATATATTAATAATAAAGTAATTTTTCCTTCACGTTCCCCAGTGGAACATAGGGCTTCAAGCTAGTGGCTTGAAGTTTCTGTAGTAGTGTTTATTTTACAGGATGTGGGGTTGCTAGCCTCATACCCCCAACCTTTCCTCTTTACCAGCATTATTTCTCACTTAGCGAGGTAAAGGAATGCGTCGGCCGGGAATCAAACCCTGGACCATGTGCATGGTCGGTGAGCGTCCTAATCGCTATGCCACCGACTCACACTCATACATTAGGTATGCCCAAATGTTTTGATCTAGCTTCCTTTTAGAAGTATGATTGGATATTATAAAGGAATCTGAATCTAGGATTTCTCAAAAGGAGTGTAATGCCTTGGGTTCATAAGATGTTCTATTATTGAACTGTGTATGCCTGCATACTTACGTTCTAAATCAGAATTAGCTCAAATAAGATTCAATAAGCAAGCAAGTTGAGTGACGTAATCTAATTCACTGGGTTGAATAGAGCTCAACTAAAATTAAAGTTGAATAAAATTCAAGTTAACAACAATCGTAGAGATTTAATAATGGCTGGGGAAAGAAAAAAATATTATACAATTATCAGACACAGAACTCCAACTAGAACAACCTGGATTCAGGAAAGGCAAATCATGTTCCGACCAAATTGAAACTCTATGCATCATCATTACAGAACAAAGCATGGAATGGCAATCAAACCCAACTCTACCTCAACTTTATAGACTTTGAGAAGGCCTTCGACAGACAGCGTTGACCGCGAAGTAATTTGAAAACTACTTGAGTACTACAGCGTGCAACGCCCAAATATTCATCAACCTTATTCAACAGCTGTACGACAACGGCACATGTCGAGTGATCCACAAAGGAAAACTAAGCGAGGCAACTGGAGTAAACACAGGAGTCAGACAAGGGTACTTATTATCACCAATGAATGATATTCCTAATTGTGGTGGACTTCCTGGATTATGCGTCAGACAGTGAGTGGGAAACAAGAAGACAGGGATATCCTGGACCGACCTACGTGAAGAACCTAGAAGACCTGGATTTCACGCGTGGATGATTTATGCTTGATGTCACACAAAATCGGAGACTTACAAGCGAAAACCGCCCGACAAACTGGTCGAAGAAGCAGCCGGCGAAGACAGAACTTCAGGTGAACATAGACAAAACGGAGGTGATGAAAATAACCAGACAACAACAACAACAGCAACAGCAGCAACATCCAGCGTCAATCACCATCAACGGGAGGGACTTGAAAGAGGTTACTTCATCCACTAACTTATCTAGGGAGCATTGTCTCAACTACACGCAGCTGGAACGGACGAGGATGTCAAATCAAGCGAGAATTGGGAAGGCGAGAAACACATCAACATCATCAACCAACTGAAACCAATCTGGAAATCTTCTTCACTTAGCATCAACAACAAAATTCGTATTTTCAATACAAACGTAAAGTCAGTCAGTTCTTTTATACGGATCAGAAACTTGGCGTGTGTGTCACAAAGAATATTTCCAACAGCCTGTTGCAGACGCTACCTTTATCAACAACTAACTGTCTTCGCTGGCTCTACACTGAAGATCAGATGGCCGGGTGGCCGGAAAGAGTCACCAACAAGAAACTCTGCCTGAGAACAAACAAAAAAAACAAGAACGAAACAATCGCCCAACAAATAGGCAGGAGAAAGTGGAGATGGATGGGACACACGCTGAGGAGGCCGATGGGTGACATCGCGCGAGCCTCAAGCCATTGCTTGAATGGAACTCGAAAGGGAAGCGACGAGTGGGACCTCAGTGCGAGGGTGACATGAAGGATACCGTGTGAAGAGGAGTGAAATAGTATGGACTAACATAGATGGATGCAGGTGAAAAGCACAGCAGAAGACAGAAGTGGCAAGTGGAGATGTGCAGTTTAAGTCCTATGTTCCACTAGGAATCCAAGGGAACAATAAGATGAAGAAGAATTATAGCATACAATTAAGAAAAAGACGAAACAAGAATTACACATTTGGTGTTAAGATAAGTTAGGTTCATTTTAGGTATAATGACGGAACAAACTTCTTCTTTTGTATTCGGAGTTCAGATTTTAACAAGTGAATTCTTATTGCTTCTGCGGTTTGTACAAGTTTGATTCGTACTCTTTTGATAAGATTTTCACGTATCCCCTGTAGATAACTTTGAAGTTACTTTTTGGGTTATCTTAATGTCATGATTCGATTAGATTTTCCAGGATAGAGCTGCTGATGGCGGGATCGTTTTTCTCCTTTATAAAACCATGACCGTGGGTAAGTGTTCGAAGATACGCTTGGATAGCCAACGCTGCGTACGGGCCACATACCTAACTCTACAAGAGAAGGTGAATTGGTAGATGCATATTGAAGAGGCCTACCAACAGTGGTAGTTAAACCTTCATTAAGTTCACGTGAATCTTTAGTTTTGTAGAGAAAGTTAGTTGAAGTTCAGCAGCGAATAAGATTTTCCTCAGTGGGCGATACAGCCGGTTTCTCAGCATTTCCGCTGATGAGTCTACATTCAGCTGTAGATTCAAGCATTGAAGTCTTTTAGGAGTAGAAAGTATGGACTGTTTCGCTGGTTTTGCTTTCATAGGTTTTGTGATGAAACGTTCTTATCAGCCATTTTTGAGGAGGATTCTCTCCAAATTGTTTAGATCCTCTTCCATAGTATCAGGACTCCACTTTTTCTGTTTTCTGCCATCTTCTCCACCTGGATCAACGATCGAACAAAAACTCTCTCACCTCCTCCTTCTCCTCCCAAAACGATCTCCTCCATGTCACCCTCACTCAAACGACCCACGCGTCGCTTCCCATTGGGATTCCATTCGATTGGTGGCCTGCA